GCAGATCAACTTGCTTCCGCCGCTCACAATTTACCCGCTAGCATTAAGACCCCAGAAGATACTTGGAATTTCTACAAAACTATATACGACCATACATGCTCGTTATCCATAGGCGACTCCTCTCCGGTTCAGCCGTGCTTAACGCGAAATCTCCGCCGCGCAGACGCCACTCCGCTTTTCCGTTTACGTACAGGGAGTGCACGTACAGGCTAACTGCTGCACCGCTGGAAAAAGTGAGATACCGATACCTGCAGCAAATGTGGAGTAACCGAAGACCTCAATCACATGCTTGACGATTGTCAAAAGTTTAAGGAGGAAAGGAAAACATTCTCGGCTGAGTTGAAAAAGCAAAACTTTCTTCCGGAACTCGTGCTACGAGGAAATTACTTCAGAGATTATTTTTGAACTTCCTGCGAGCCACTGGCCTACACACTCAACTGTAAAGGGCTCATATACTACAAACGTGACAAAGACAACAGTGGAAATTTCTGACCACTAACTTTAATACCTCCTCTAATCTGTTCATATCTATTCTCTTTCTTTTTATCTTCTCATTAATTTAATTTTATATTTTTCCTTTTGCACGTGGGACAATGTCGACCTAGTGGCAAGACTAACTCCAGCCGGATTTTCGATTGTTTTAATAAAACGATTTATCTCTCTCTCTCTCTCGCGATTTCTTTCTCTTTAACGCATTCACATCTCTGCTGTCGGAATGTTCTCATTCCTCCTCTTCAGACTTCTTTAAGCGATCTTCATTTGCTTTTCTTCTATCCCTGCCTGAGGCTCATGTCACTCCACAGGAAAATATTCTCTGAGCTGTGCAGTGCAACGGAAGGGGCACTAACACAGTTCTGGCCTTTTTCTTCGATGGCTAGGGCTTCCAGCAGTTCACGGGCGAGTTTATTTTTATGTCTCCCCACATTGTTTAGGTTGCACAACGTTGCCTCACACTGGCATGCGCGACAATGGACTGCAAGGTGTCCTGCTGCTGTCAAGTTTCGTAGAGATGTTGGATGTTCCCTGGTTCTATCGTTAATACCCTGTCCCCTGCCCGATATAACACCTTCTATCGTTAATACCCTGCCCTGTCTGCCCGATATAACACCTTCCACATGTTAATGGAATGTTATAAATGACTTTTTTTTTACATTAAACGTACCTTGTCTTGTGTGCGATGCCACATGCCTCTTGGTACCTATGTTGGTTTTCGTTTACCCTGTCGCACATTGAATACACCCTGTTCAGCGCGGAGCTTATCACTTGGACCCCTTGCAGGCCTGCGATCTTTTTAGCCGGTAAATGATGCCATGAAGATATGGTGCTACCACTATGGGATTTCCAGTCCTTTTCTTTGTTGTTCGCTCGATGTCTTCCTGTCCGCGCTTCAACTTCTGGGAGATATTTTCACATATTGATACCAGTAGTGTTTCCGGATACCCAGCATCAAGTAACCTAGATTTCTGAGTGTCAAAACGCCTGTTGATCTGGTGATCACAAGACTTATTTAAGGCAGATGTTAGTGCTGTGGTGGAGACCCCACGTTTCACATTCTTTGAGTGTTGGGATTTGAATGAAAGAAACCCTTTGCAGGACCTAGTCTGGTGACTCCAGCGGACGTGGCCATCTTTAAAGTCTAAGGCAAGATGAAGAAATCTGATAGATTTGTTTATGGGTAGTTCATGAGTGAACTGAAGTACTGAGCAGCTCTGTTCAAAGCAACTCATGACATACTCGCGGCAACTGTTGTCTTGTCCTTCTACCTCCGTGTCACAAAGTATTAAGAAATCATCAACGTACCGGAAGATGAATTCAATCCGGGGATCTTTCATGCTTTGTTGGATAGCAAGTCCGCATGTTGCGAGGAACATATCGCTGACGTAAGGAGCTACTCGAGACCCGATGCATACACCCCTTTTCTGCACTTACTGCTGATCTTAATGGGACACCACTGTCGCAGTCAGGTAAACACGTCGCAATTCCAAAAAGCTGTCGAGGGATTCCTAAGTGCGGATGCCAGCCGCACTTAGGAATGATGTGAGACCTTGCTGTTCAATTGTTTCTCGGGGTATGTTTAGGAGGCCTGCATGGGGGTAATACATATCTTTGGAGGCTGCATGGGAGTAATACATATCTTTGATGTCAAGAGAAGATCTAGAGGCAATGTTAGAACCATTTTCCTGAAGAAAGGAGATCACACTTTCTGAGCTTAGAATCTTAAAGGGGTCTTGTACCTGCACTTGGGACAGTTGTTTGGCCAGAAAGGTGTACACTTGTGCTTGCCAAGTATTTTTTTCTGACACAATTGCCCGGAACGTAATTCCCCCTTTATGTGTCTTGGCTGATACAAAGACCGACAGTTGGTCACTCATCGATCCTTTGATGTAGTTCTTTTTTAATCCACTGGAATGAATTTCTCTGCGATGGCTTGATTGGCTCTTTCAATGTACCTCCCTTTATCGAGGACGACGAACCCTGACTCCTTGTCTGATACGCATAGTTTTTGAACTTTGGTCCGCAATTCCTGCACTGTAGAGCCAAAATTCATTTTCTGGTGTAGAGGGTTCCTTAGGCTGGCAAAGCAAGCAAATCCTTCATTTATGATTTGCGATGTTTTCCTTTTCTTCTGGAGCTTTGGCCGCGATATGTCTTACTAGTGCAACCTTGTCAACAGCCTTAAGCTTTGGTGGTATTGCCAAACTTTGGACCCTTCTCTAGTACCCTCTTGGCTTTTTCTGTAAGATTGGCGTCAGCGATGACGCGAAGCGAAGACCTTTTGGTATTTGCTGTGGTTCTTCTTGCTAGCTGGTGTTACCATACTGGGTGGAAATGTTGCGTCCACATGCATTCGGTTGTGACTCTCGTCATTTTCAGTTGATCTAGGAAGAAGTTGTGGCTGAGGCATTTTACTCTCAGGAAATTCGTGAGTAAGCGGACTTGCCGCCGTTTCGGATAAAAGAATTTTTGAAACCCGCTGAGAATGCCCTTCAGACGGCAAAAAATTCCGCACGTCATCCAGGATTATTCTCTTTTTGATACTACGTGAGAGCGTTTTTTCTTGGCAGACTGGCGTTGCGATCAGGAGACAAAGGTCATGCGGTTCGAGGAAGTTAAAAGAAGTTAAAAGAAACGAAAGGCGTGCTCAGAGAACTAGAAAGGTACCTTGTTACGGGCTTAAGCTGAGCAAATTGGTTCATTGCTTGTGAATGGGGCCAGCTGAACATGAAAACTCAAAAAGTTATAACATTCGCACCTCTGGACTAGCAACATTTAATGATGCCTCTTTTTCGTTTTCTGCTAATCCTTGATTCCGTTTTTTTTTTCTCTACACTAAATCATTTTTTTTTTATTTTTTTTTTATTTTTGCACACGTTTCGACGTTTTGCGCGCTAATTTCATGTTCAGTGTAAAAGCGCAAACTTTATATTTTGATCCAGATATATTTCTTACCTCCAGCGATGGACTTTCAAAGTGCCCTGCGGCAAAAAAAAAAAAAAAAAAAAGACGAACGGTCAATTCTCAAAAGCGAATTCTATATAAATTCTGACTATTTGCATAGTCCTAGTAAAGGTTCGTCCCTTGGTTGAATAGATGATGACTGCCCGGCGGTGTCTTGCGGGGCCAATCGTTTGATGAGCCTTGTTCGGTGGGTGATCAGAAGAGTGCGACAGATGCGGGAGGACTTCGTCTAAACCGTTTATTTAGACGTGACGAGCTATTGTACACAGTCTATACAAAGCAAAGGGAATTCGCCGTCCTCCAAATTAGTCCAAGTCCAAGCCAGAAAGGGCTTCTCTCTCCCCTGTCACGGACTTTTGAAGACGCTGACCCCCTCACTCTCGGGTGAGGATCAACCAATCATTTCAAAGCTTTGCTGGAGCCACGTGATATCCACCGTCCAATAGTTGGCAAGGGCGTCGATACACATTCGTTAACTTGCCAACGGACTACAGCCGACAGCTCCGTAACTTCGTCCGTGCATCCCGTTGCAGACATAGCGGCGCCTCTCCAGAACCCCCAGGTTGAAACCCAAGAAGCCCCGTAGAATGCGCAAGCCTCCAGATTCAAAATAAAAAACAACATCTCTTCCCGAGGGGTCATCCCGATGGGGGAGACACAGGAAGACGCTCTCCAGGGGGCCGCGTCGGCAGAAAGGCCCACGCGGTCCCCCGTTAGAAAAGCAAAACTACACAAAACGACCGGGGAGGGAGCATCATACACGCCGCCGGACAAGACGACCGTCGCCCGGCCGATCGAGAAACCAGCCGTCTTTTCCAGAACCCTTACACCTTCCCCCCAAGACTGTTTCTGGTCCTTCTTGGACCTGCTAAACAGTTAATCTAAACACACGTAAAAGAAGTAAAACTAGATAACACTAACGTGAAGTTCTTCAGAACCGACTCAAAGCGTGCAAACATAATCGTAAGCTGACAATAAAACAAAACACATAAAAACAACAGATTCTACTTTAACAAACCGGAATGTCCCAGTGCAAACATAGAAAGGGGCCAAAACGCGTGCGTGACATCCTGTCGGCTGCGCCAGTAAAGTTCTTGTTGTGGTGGGGAGAGACGTCAGCTGTCGAAGATCCTCTCCCCGATCGTCGCTGCCACTGCCTCGCCATCGAAGTCACCAGCCGCGATCGGGGAGAGGATCTTCGACAGCTGACGTCTCTCCCCACCACAACAAGAACTTTACTGTCCTTGTGAAACTTGACATGTTATAAAGATTTTGCAAGCAAGTATTTGTTTGCATAATTAATCATAAATCTACAATTACATTCGTTTTTTTTTTTTTTACTAAATTTCACAGCATGAGTGAGATGCTTCCGAATTTTGTATTTCGTAGAACTCCTGCATCATTTACTTGTCAGAGCTCCAAGCTCTTCACAGTGTTGCACGTCTGGCAGACATTTATCACTGCTAAAAGTACAAAAAAAAGGTCAAGATCCTCGTATCTCCGATAAACGCAAGCATCGAACGAGTCACTTCCTATCTCGCGGCACCGAGCAACGTACTCGGGACCCCTTGCAGCTTGCGTCAATTTTCACACTCGCCAAATAACCCAGAGCACGCTGCATGGACTGAGGTATGTCTGGGTCTAAAGCCCGTTGACGCACTCGCGTTTCCTTACGAACGAGCTATTAGAATATTTTACGACGAGAAAAAAAAAAAAACACTGGCAAGCTGGCGCAATCTATAAAATGACCTGGAACTAAATTTCGCTAGAGGGAAGGTTTTGCGGTATTTTCGATGTCAGATGTGCGTACTATTTATGAGGAATTGTCGTTTATTACGTTATCGAAAGTTTTTCAAGATTCGAAAGAAAGAGTGATGCGCGAATGAAGATAAGAAATGTAGGGAAATCCCAAATATTGCACAGTTGCCCGATAGAAGGCGCTAATGTGTTCTCTCGTCGTAAGAGATTTTAAGAGATTTTAAGACATACGTTCGGTAGTCGCATGTGTGTGAGTCAACCTTAACTCGCTTAAAAGTCGCGTTAATTGCGGCGAAAAAACTTATTTTGGATTGATGTCGTTCCAAGCTGGTGGAAAGCGTTTTGCTGCAAGAATACCGTATCCTCACGGTGCTCGAAGAGTGAATTTTCCATACCAAAAACGCTCGCCTGAGTTCAAGGGTTTCTCGAATGACCGCAACTTCTGGTTTAGACTTTTATCGCATGTAGTGCCGAGTAGAGTTTCGACGCATGTTGTTGTGATTCGGTAACAACTTCGAAATATTTTTATGTTCCACCAAAAATAAAACGGCCCTTTCCGAAAAGCTGATTCGTTTAGGTATTGAAATACCTAGCCCGGTAGTTATGTTGAACACCAAATTCAATTCGGTAATTCGGCAGTCATCTCTTGGGTTTAGTAGCTGCTAGGTGCGGCCCACGCGTATTTCAGGAATTAGTCACAAGAAAAAAATACTAGAGTGACTCTGAAAAACGATAAATGATAAACTCCGTAGTGGTGTGCAATTATTCTGTAAACAAGGAGCCACTGCTGGGACGTTGTAGATAAGAAACCGTAGGCGTCTCATTGACTGAAACTCTGTGGTCTAGTAAAGTGCCTGCGTTTCATCGTCTAAAAATGCTTTCCATGGATGAGAATACGCAGAGAGCGTGATCATGCAGTGCAACCCCGACGGTAGACCGATCCGACTAGCGCGTATCATCCACCTGTCCTTTCCTCTTACTCTCTTATCCGTGAATATCGTACAGCTGGCGCAATCAATGCGGAGCGCAAGTTCGTCTGCTTCTTTTGCAGAATTTTCCGTGACGTCACAACGCCGAGCTCTGATTGGCTCTCATTGACAAGGATAGTGGGTGGACCTCAAAGCAAGCTGCCTCGAGGTCTACCCACTATCCTTCGCTCAGAGCCAGTCAGAGTGCGGGGTCGTTCTGACGTCACCACAACCCCTACAAAAGAAGCAGACGAACTTGCGTACCGCATACCCCTTAGAAGACAAGGCCTGCGGATGACGTCATCATTAGTGGACCCCCGATTCGCCTCAAGCGCCAAGCACGCCAAAGCTGGACGAGAGACGTTGCAAGGCGGCAGACGCGTCCGTCTTGGCGTCGCCACGCGATAACGTCGCGCTGGATATGAGACGCTGCAAGACGTGCTATCAACGATGTTAAAGCAAGGTAGGCGACGCTGCGTTGGTCCACTAGTGATGACGTTTTGGGAAGTTGAGGCATAGGCTTGTCGTTCGGGTGGTATTAGTATTTTGGGCTCGTTAAAAGAAAAAGTAACGAAATTCGTGACTCGTTACCTGCAAATAAAAGGAAAGGGTTACCGATCTATCTTACCTCAAAATAAAAGGAACGCGTTACCGCTACCGGTAAAAAGTAACACACGTTACTTCTCGGTTAAATTTTTTTTTTAAATTATGAATTAGCACGGTTTACTACTTTCACGGTACAGGTATGCATAAGTGCCATATTTCAAGAAACCTTATGTTCATGTAAAAACTAGCTTTTTTTACGGTTTCACCTAAATACTCACCAGAAAAAAAATACGCGAAAAAACAGAAAAATTCACATGACTTGGCGATTCAAAACACGATAAGAATTTGAAGCGTAATTTGTTTAAGTTTTGAAAAGAAGTAACGAGCAACGTAACTACGTTACCCGTTACTTGAAATAAGTGACGTAAGTACGTTACTCGTAACTGTTCTGAAAAAGCAACCAGTTCGTTACTACATTGGCGAAAAAAAGTAATGCGTTGCTGGTAACGCCGTTACTTGTAACTTGTTCCCGATAAGACTTGGTGGCATTGGCCCAACCCGAATTTTCCCCCCTCCTGCCGGTCAATTTTTGTCTTCAAGAAAACAATTAAATCTTGTTTTAGCTGTGTCTAAAAACACACTCCGCGCAGTATCCGAATTTTTTATCATCCTCCACGCCAGAAATTGGATTTTGAACTCTTCCTAAAACGCGTCCTCAAAAAGCAGCATTTTTGTTGGCAACAATAGAAACCGCGGAAGCTCTGACGTAACATCAGGCAAAGAGCCGCGTTGGGGTGCCTCCCGACTGCTGTACTCGTTTCATTTCTTTATTCGTTTTACCTTGTTGCTCTGTCAGACTATATCTTCGTCAATTTAAGGGAACTTCTGTTGTGCGGTTGGCTGAAACAACACTCGGACGGCAGACTAACGATGTCCTGTCACCGGGTGAAATAGAACCGAGCTGTCCCCGTGTAAATGTGGCCACGACCTGTCAGGTTTCAGATTAATTTCGGTTTCGCTGTATAAATATATTGTGAAAATGCAACTGTCCCTCTAGCATTCATTTTTCATGATCTTGCAAGATATTTAAATAGTCTAAACGTATAAATTCATGACAGAGCCCACCTTTAATAAGGTTTTGCTTTCGGTTGCGGAGCATATACATTTTTGTGTGTGTGTGTGTGTAACTGCTGCTCTACGCTCAATTCCTCATGATCTCACAAGACATTACCTTCAGATGCCTACGGTGACAGTAGAGCATCTTTTTTTAATCCTGCCTCCCACAGTAATGACTCTAATCGATGTGATTATTCTCGAGGACTCCAGCTTAGTCCTCAACACTAATTTATATGGCGTGCAGGTACGCCTGTTAGTATAAGCAAGTGGCGAAGGAAATATTTTTGGCGCATCTCGTGCGTTTATTTACCCACCAATGCGCTCGAAGGATCGTGGCCCCTGCATGGCTCACATGTTTTTTGTTTTTTTTTTGCAATTTATATTGTCCATTGATTGGTGAGCCCTTTTTACATTTCTTACTTTTTTAAAGCTTGCTGATGTTCTAGTAACAACCAGCTGTTTAGAGTTATCCCACATTTTAGACGTCTTTGCAACCATCGTTATGATTAATAAAACAGTGATGGCTGATGCGAGCTGGTGTAGATTAACCCTTTTCTTGAACCACCTGAGACTTGGTGAAGAACAAAAATAATCCAAAGTGAATTTTCAATTGGGTTCTTCTCGTTCTCTACCAAGTCTCAGATGGTTTAGGAAAATGATAGAAAGCGAGTATTTATTTAATTATTGCGGTACAACTAATTCGCGCCATTATTATCTCATCGTCGACTCAAGGTTTCATAGATTGTCCTGCAATTTTTGTAAATAAATGTGATACATAGATTTTTATTTTTGAAATTCACATAAAAAACATCCCTTGCTGGGATTTTGTTCAGTTTGGTTCAATACATAAACCAAAAAAGCATTGAAAAAAAAACGACAAGTTTTTTTGTTTGTTTCTTTGTTAAGGACAACCTGGATTCCAATTTCAAGTTCGATGTGCAATATATGTAATAAATCTGTAGCACGTGTCAATATTCTGCTCCAACTAAAGCTGCTTATTCTGCTTTTTTTTTAATATTATTAACTAGACTTCACGTGCTGGGTTCGAAGGTGCAAAGTTTTTCTTCGCGATCTCCAAAATAAAGTCTCTATTTTTTAATCAAGAGTTCCATAATTTCTGTCGTAAAAAAAAAATAGCATCATTAGACTTTTGATGTTGCAATCTTGCTGAAGAAAAAAATATAATATTTTCAAATATTAAGAAATAATAACCTTGACGCTTTCTTACAGCAGTAATGACGGGGTCCTGAAAGCAAAAAAGTACGTTTTTGGCGTCCTACACCTACCACCAAAAGAATAGGGATGATAACGTGGTAAAGCTGATGAAATCAAGGAAGTAGTCTAAAACGAATATGCTATATACGATCATCATGGCGTCAGTGAAGAGCTCTAATCAAATCTGCCCACAGCACAATTCGTCCTGAATGCAAACAAACTTTGGAAGTAGCAATGGTGTCAACTAGTTTCAGCATGATATTTCTTTATTCATTTTAATTTTCCTCGAGTCTAGAGGTGGCTATATTTTTTCTACAATACTACACTAGGAGCGTACCAGGGGCAAAAAAGGTTATCAATATAAACATTGGGCGTGACCGAATTGCTACGTAGTATAAGGTCCTTTGCGGACTTATATTGTACCAAGGAGGCTTCTCTTCGTTTTTCCTAGAGCGATAAATGTAGCTATCTAGGGCGAACGATATTCGTTTTCGTCTTCGAAACGACCTTTGCACTGCGCAATCGATAAGGACCGTAAGAAACAACGAACAGAACGAGACTGGGATACTTAGACACCTGAAGATACATGATAAAGCTGGTCAACAAGGTCAACGCCCGCGTTGACCTGCGCGAAGGGCAGGTCAACGCGGGTGCAAACAAAAAGAAAAGCGAAGAAACAGAGAATCACGTTTAAACGCTAGGTAAAGAAGCGTTCTTATTGAACACCACCACCAACTCATGTCTTTCCTAACCCATGTTTGCAAACAAACCATTGCGCCCCTAGCGGCGCCAGGTGTTCTGCGCATGCGGAACCGTTTGTGGGCAGAAGCACGGCGTTCCCTGTCAACAAACCATCCGAATAGTATGTTGTTGACCCGGTCTAAATCTCCATTCTCTTTTTTCTTTCTTTGCGTTAGGATCGTTAATTTAGTGTTTTCCTATAGCAATACCTGACTGCATGTCAGTGGCCTCGACGAAATGCACAAGGCTCGTCATACCGCAAATATTTCGCATAACTGGTCGCGTACGGCGATCCATAAGTGTGAGTGCCATGCTAAAGCCGTATTCACAAGATGCGATTCTGTTCGCGTTTTTCAGTAGCGTTGTCGCTCGTGCTCCAAAGAAGAGCGTGAATAAAAACTGCCGAGCTCGACGTCGCAACTAAAGCTCCTAAGCAGAACTGCACCATTAATCAGGCATAGCAAGTCGACGGTTGTCACCGGTTGCAGTAGTCAACATCACCTTCTATCTTCATTTTACACCCAGCCTATATACTGCAGACGTCCTTCAAGTTTACGCGTCTTTAGAGACCTACATTTGCTTCGTATCGCAGTTACCACGTCCTCGGAGCGTAGACCGTCGACATAATCTACGAACCATTTTTTTTTTTTTTTTTGAGGATGAAGAGGTTTGGTGCAGTGTGAGGTGTATGGGCATCTTTGCGATGCTCCCGCATTCATGTTGGAACACTACAGTAAATGTTGAAACAACAAGACACACCTCAGTGAATTCTCCCTTGGAAACATGCATCTCGCACAGACGCTCATGGTCCGACGATGCCTCGTTATCCCTTTTAACGCGATATCGTTAAACAGCTCGTGTCGCAGAAAAGTTGACGTAGGTGGCGTCGTGAGGGGAATATCCTTATTGGTTGATGGGGTCATGACGTCACAGCAAACATGACCTTGCGCGGGATTTTTAAAAAGCCCCCAACGGTAACGTGAAACGTGACGTCACGCGTGGAATGAAAGTGATTAATAGATGACATGTAACGTGAACTAAGCGTCACCGAATGTCTCAAATGATTTCACATCATTAAGTAAGTAATTTTTCCTTAAAGAAGAAATTTGAAGGATTTTACGCGGGATTTCAAGTTCCAACACACGGCTCGTCGGTTGCGAGCCAGGCAATGCTACGGTCTAGGCCACAGAGACACGCTTGCACGGCTTGGGAACAAGCGGGAGTTTTTATGCTTAGCTATCGCGTTTTTGCAGCTGCTATCCATGTTTGCGGGCGGATCTGGCAGGCAGAAAACACGTGAAAACGGATCTTGACCCATTTCCTAGATCCTTCAGCAAGGCGTTTGTTCGCGTTTTTTAACCTTTTATTCAGCAAGGCCAAGGTCTATGCAGGGCACTGGGCACTTTGACGGAAAGACGACATTTTGACGAAAAGGCAGCATTTTGACGAAAACAGAACAAACTGTGGTTCGACTGGCGTTTTTGTCCCCAACCCGCTTAGTCCGTTTCACATTATGATGGGCCGCAACAGACGCTACCAGCCTACCCAGCCAATCCAGCGCTGTAAACATATCACGTGACAACGCACACTACGTGTCGCTGTAGCCCACCCGGAGGTCACGTGACACCCATACGGCATTGGATTGGCTTTGGCTTAGGCATTCACCGCAGTTCATCGTATTGTAAAATGAACTATGCCAAAACAGCACAGGTATCTGTGGTTCGACATAGCGTTTCTTCCCCGCACCTCAGACCGAAAGGGCGCTCGAAGCACCATCACCGCGACGTGGTGCAAGAAAGTTGACTAGGTCTTATAATAAGAAAGCTATAAAAAAGGCACAAAATGACGAGAAGAAGGTCCCGTTTTCGTCCTTCATATTGAGTCGTTCCGATATCTTGCTACCAGTGTAAGAAGAATACGACCTGTCTCCGTGTACAAGGACGTCAGGTTTCTGTGAACGCTGTGCTGTCGCGAGAGTAGATTAAACCAAGGTGCTCGAGCTGTCGACCGTTTCCGGTTTCTTAGTGTTTATATATCACCCACTGCCGGCAGAAGCGCGAGAGGCAATGTAAGGAAGAGCGTTGAAAACGGAAGAAGCGCAACCTTTGGTTTTAGTGCCGTGGTGAATGAACAGGTACGTACGGCTTCTGTCTGGACGGTCCAGTTTTTATTTACGGCAAACTACAGTGGACGAGCCATTTCATATAATTCAGCACTGTGAACGTGTAATTGACGTTGGCAACGTTGGCTCTGTGACCTTGAGTTCTTCCTTTACCACTCGACCTTACAATGTCTGTCGAAGTGTAGCTCACACGGCCACATGTAACCTACCCGCGGGTTGCTCTTGTCCAAGAATATCGTGGTTGCGACGAGCCTACTGCACAATATTTGACCTGTAGTTTTTGGTGTTGTTGTTGCAGATTTTCCTGCCGCGACAGCGTCTTAAGAGGTGTGAATGACAGTGGTCCGCCGTTATCAACCTCCCAAAAAAGGTGCGTGCCGCGAAACAGCTGATCGGAATCCTGCGATAAGACTACGGTAAGGGTTAGGCCGGCAGGAATCAAATTTGGGTTGCCACTTCAAGCGGCACTTGAACGTTTGTGGGCTCTCAGTTTGGTTGCTGAAGTGTGCCACATATTTCGAATTTTAATAAGGCTCACCAGGAAAACGTGTTTTTTTTGTGTTTTTTTTTTCTTTTGTGCGTCTTGTTTTGATGAACCTGGTCTGGTGGTTGGGGTGCGGAAGTCGGTGAACGGTTGGTGGGCGGTTGGTGGACGGTAGGTGGACGGTCGGTGGACGGTAAGTGGACGGTAGGTGGACGGTCGGTGGACGGTTGGTGGAATGTCGATGGACGGTCGGTAAACGCTCGAAAGGCGGTTAGGGGACGCTCGGACGACGCTTAGTAGACAGTCGTTGGACGATCCGTGACCGTTCGGTGGACGGTCAGTGAACGGCCGGTGGACTTCAACACCAGCATGCTTAAGAAACGCCAGGCGTCCAGCCGGTCTTAGAACGAGAATGTCAGGTGTTGATTAGGTTGGCAATCAGGTCAGATGAACGCGGAAAAAGACAAGAACACGAAGGAAAGGACTGGACATTCACACCGCTGACTAAAGGTCTGTTCACACGATGCATCTTTTAGGCGCGCAACAGTTTCGCGACACTCAAGTTTCGCGAAATGTGCTCGTTCACACGTACCGCTTCACGTGCAACAACACACACCGATACACCGTTATGTGTGAGCTCCGAATCAGATCGCTATATATCTGGGGACCTGCTTTGCGCATTTTATGCAGTCAATTCACTTTAATTTTTTTTTTTTCACATACTGCACTACTTGGAGCGATCTCGCGTGTGCGCTAAGCCGATTGAGGCGGCAACCTGTATGTGCAGGACATGTGCCGGTGCCGAGCCCGTACGCAGCCAATTCATTGCCAAAGCTCCTATCAATGCACATGGTATTCATAGAAACGCTACGTGCCCAATCTGATTACTTCTCGGCGCCCATGTCTGCCCCGAGTTTACTGTGCCAACTGTTTCAGAGAGCGCACATTGTTTCACGTTCGCTTGTAAACAAAGGAAACTTGGTTTCAGTTTACTCGATGGTCTCTTATCCAGCGGTATCGTCGCGACAACAACGCTATGACCACTATTCTAATCTCGCCAACTCCCGCCAATTGTCTTCGTCCATCGCTGAATTTTTTCCCGATTTGCTACTCACTTTTCCTTCAGTGGTGCTTGACGTGCATGCGGAAGCGCCGGTAGTATCCATCGTTCCTGGTTTCGGTTTTTTTCGGATTTGGCTCACTACAACACCGGCAGTGAAGTGGTCTTCTTAAACAGCTCGCTCCCCGCTCAAAGGCCACGTGAGAGCGTTTCTGAGCGGCCATTGGCGGCGCCCTCAGAGTGATTGACAGGTCTCGGCAAAGTTTCAGCAAAAGCTCGCTCCAGAAGCGAGGTGTGCGCGCAACTTTTTTTAGATGCGCGTGTCCTTTTCGGACTCGTTCAGACGGCGCAACCATTTCGCGAAACTACATTTCGCGACACTAGATGCGCGAGAAAAATGCATCGTGTGAACGGGCCTTAACAACTGACTTTTACTTTTTCCTCATCCCCAGCCTAGGCCTTTTCTCCTTCCTCCTACGGCTCATGAAACACGTTTAAAAACAACATTTTAGCTTACCACTCAACGGGGTGTGGCAAACCGCAAAAATTGGCGTTCTTTTTCGTGAATTCTAATCGACGAGGTACTCACGCAATCTTCTCCTTTTTCTTCAATGGCCATGGCCTCCAGCACTTCACGCGCGAAGGAGTTGTTGTTTCTATGAAGGACGGTCATGCTGGTGAGCTCTGCGTCACATCCACAGGTCCGGCAATGCGCTGACAAGTGTACCGCTGATGTAGTTTTCACCAACGCTGCGTGCTCTCTTGCCCTATCGTTTATACATCGGCCAATTTGGCCGATGTAGCTCTTCCCGCAAGAGAGGGGAATACGATAGACGACCCCGGTTTCGCATTGGGCATACTGTGTTCTGTGGGCTGTGTCACATATCGGTTGTTGATCACGTCCCTTGTTGACCCTGCGGCACATGGCGTACGCTTTGTTCGGTGCCGAGCAAACAACTTGAATGTCTTGCCTGCCTGCGATATTTTTTAGTCTGTGGGTCACTCCATGGATGTAGGGCACAACCGCGATTTTGCATCGCGTTGGTGGATTCGCCGCTTTCTCGCCGCTTGCTGCTCTCTGCTTGAGTTTCTTGGAGAGGCTCTCACATACGCTATACCTAACAGAGCGCTCGGGTAACCCGAATTGCGTAGTCGAGTGGATCTGTTTTTTAAAGCTTGTCTCACCTTGATGATGGCAGGACTTGCTTAGCGCAGAGAAAAGAGCAGTGCTCGCTACACTTCTTTTGACGGTCTTCGAGTGGCCAGACTCGTATAGGGAAGAAACTCCTTGCACGAGCGGGATTCGTAGCGCCAACAGATGTGACTTGCTTTGAACTCCAAAAGAAGGTACAGGAACTTGATCGACATCTCCAGTGGTAGTTCGTAAGTAAACACCGATTCCGGGCAACTTTTCTGGAAAGAGGTCAAAACGCTTTCGTTACATCCGTTCCCCGGATCTTCCACCTCAGTGTTGCATAGCACCCAATAGTCATCAACATACCTAAAGATGGCTTTTACTCGCGCGTCATTCAGGTTCTCTTGAGTTTTCCTGTCGGATGCTGCAAGGAACAAATCGCAAAGATAAGGAGCGACCCGAGAGCCAATACACACGCCGCTTTTTTGTACGAAGTGTTGCCCTTGATGGGTTACCACTGTCGCTGCCAAATACACACTGAGTAGTTCCAGGAAGGTGGCAGCAGCGACAGTTCCGTACTTGCAAAGTTGCTATGCTAGGAGTTTATTGTGTGTATTACGACAGTTTCGCCGAGAGGCTCGGCTTCGTCAGGAGATGGCATACATGTGAGGACATCAGACTGCGCAGAGCAGTAAGCGGCCAATGGGGCGAGAATGACGTGACATCAGGAAAAATAAAAAGATATATAAAAGAAAACAAATATATTTTAAGCAAAACCAAGCGCCCAGTAAAAAAAAAATTATAATAAAGTTTGATTTGAGCGCGTTTTTACCGTCACGGCGGCGGGTTCCAAAGCTAAAGAGGCTTATATGAAATGCCCGATACTGCGGTGGGTACAATAGGTCATAAACGGACGGCACAGGCTCTGGAACGACATCTTCGGTACTAATTGCCCGTAAGCCTAAGCCGATGTGGGCGTCCGCTTTCGGCGACGGTCACCCCACCTCCCCTCGGGCGCCGCACGCCGCGGAAGAGAGGAGAGAGGGGAGCAAGGAGAAGATCGCGGGGCAGACGGGCGCGGGGGAGGGGGGGTGGGGGGGGGGGGGGGGGGGGCGGAAATTGCCACTGGATAGTTCCAAAGACGTCATCGTACCGGACAGTGAATTAAAATTTTAAATTGAAAAGATAAAACCTTCAGAATAAAAATAAAAACGAATACAGATGCCTATATTTAATTATATATATATATATATATTAGTGATGGACCGAATCTGCCGAACTTCAGATTCGGCAAAGTTCGGCAAATGCCGACCTTTTGTCGGAAAGTTCGGAAAAGATTCGGCAAACATTCGGCAAATGTCTGCGCACGCGCGAAAACGCGACGGAGCCTCGGATTGCAAATGAACGCCGTGCAGTCGTGCGGTTACCATCGTGCACTGTAGTACAACCAGCGGTTACGGCGCTGTCTGGGGTAGGCAACACGGTTACTATGCGTTTGTGAGCGAGTGTGGTTCTGTTCAATATGTTCTGCCTCAAGAATAGAAGATCGACAAGTAATTTACGCAGTCCACTGCGCAAGTGACAAATGATGCGGTGCATTCTGAAACATTGAGATATTGGCCGACAATTACTTTAAAGCACTCCTCGGAATTATAACAATTCTGTTTTCGGCTCAGGGGTAGTGTGTTCCAAAACAAAATAATATTGCTTTTTCAGTTAGTGTTATTTCATGATTTTCAAGTACCTGCATAAAACTAAACACACGTTGCACATTCGACATTCACTCTTCCTATCTTCCGAAACGTTCGTGTGTGTCCTAACACCAGAAACAGGCATTTTAAAGGTGAAAAACGAGACGTTGCGAATATGGGACGCACACTCAAGTCGAAGAACATGCATATTTACAATATTATTAATCTCTCTTCTGGTGAAGGCTCAGCAAACGTTGCATTCGTTTTCGCGCACGAAACGGTGACTCCCAGAGAAAGCAAGAACGCAGCCACACATGCAGGCTTGCGGCGATGATGCCTCAAAACAGAAACTCTCGTAGCGTGATTCGTGACTGCGCAACGCTCGCTTCTACCCAACCTCGTTGTCACGCCACTTCTGCGAGGAGCCACTAGAATTGCCAGTAAACACACAAAAAGGATACCGATACAATTATATCGTAGAATATCACCTTATTTAGTAAACATGTTGCATTTAAATTAAGAAAAAAAAGAAATATAAACCTTTTTTTCGCCAGAAAGAAACGAAATATCAACGAGTCTGGTAACAATGTATTCTTGCCGAATCTTTAGAAAAGTTCGTCAAAAGTTCGGCTCTGCCGAATCCCAAGATTCGGCACCGAACTTTCGATTCGGCAAAAGTTCGGCCCATCAGTAATGTATATATATATATATATATATATATATATATATATATATATATATATATATATATATATATATATATATATATATATATATATATATATGTTAGCGTGATTATTACTCTTATCTCAAATTTATTTCAATATCGTGAAATTCAACCAACTCACCTGTATCTTTCCTAGTTTGTTTATTTTTTTCCTTCAAACATTTATGTATCTATTGGAATACCTTGGGCATGCAAGATTTGGAAGATAAACAAACAAATTCAAACACTAACACCAAAACTTCATATCAAAACACAAGAAAGGTAAAAGGTAGT